CAGGAATCAAGTAATATGATCTGGCTGGAAATACTTTGGCATTCCTGCCCTTATATGAACTGGTTACAAGGACAAAGTGAGTCTTCTGCCTGAGAGGGGCACCATGGGTTTGATCTATCCAAGAGGTCCTATGCTTCGGCAGTACTGGGCAAGTTCTTCCTTCTAGAAGGTTATCTCATCTGCCACAGGTGAACATGCAAGCTGCATGTTGGTTCACCAAGAAGGACAAAGAGCTGCAACTTTGAGAAGCCACAGGTCAGTCTGTGTACCTGTTCTGTGCCTGCCTGCTGAAAACTATCTGCACCAGTGGCAGAATGTGGTCTGAGACTTACTGTCTTTATAACCTGGACCACTGTGAGAAAGAAGCTAAACCTCGCCAAACTCTTGACAATTGCCAATAACTACCAAGATAGCCACATACCGATGTATTTAACACTGCCTTAGGGTCACTATGAAAGTGAAAGTGGCTCAGTCGTGTCCGACTCTTTGAGACCCCATGGACTATACAGTCCATGGAATTCTCCAGGCCAGAATACTGGAGTGGGTAGCCTTTCCCTTCTCTAGGGGATCTTCCCAACCCAGGGATCGAACCCAGGTCTCCCACACTGCAGGCAGATTAAAGAAACCAGCTAAACCACAACAGAAGCCCAAGAATACTGGAGTGGGTAGCCTATCCCTTCTCCAGCAGATCTTCCTGACCCAGGAATTGAACTGGGCTCTCTCACATTGCAGGTGGATTTTTTTATCAACTGAGCTATCAGGGAAGCATTATAGCTCTTTACCAACTGAGCTATTAGGGCCATTATGAGCAACAACAATCTGCAGCAGTTCCTCATGATTTATTCATATTGTATTTAGAATAATAAGGAATAGCAATCTCCCAGTTAAAAGGTCCGACTGGAGTCAGGTGGAACAGTGTTGAAAGCCTGGCTCCACCACCACGTAAACATCAGTCAAGCTAATCCATGTCTTGCACTTCAGTTGCCTCACCTGCAAAAGGACGTTCCTGGACCCCACAGGGTTCCTGTGAAGCGTGAGTGATATAATGTAGGTAAAAACAGCACACTTGTGGACATGAAATAAGCTTCCGCTATTGTTACTATTATCATTAATGCTTATACTTGCCTGGAGTAAAACCTGCCAAGCCTTACTCTCAAATTGCCCTGATAGCAGTTACCTAGATTTTCCAACTACATATTTCACCTCTGAAAGGGCGTCCTGTCATTTTTCAGTAGTGAGCCCACCTCACGCTTCCAGCCCCAACTACCCCTTAAGTTCCAAGACAGCAAGGATGCACTTTGTTCACTGACCAGAGGCCTTAGCACAGGGCTGGGTACCCAGAAAAAAGGTGTAGAGTGACCACCCTCCTGTGATTTCTGCTTCCATTAGCATCCACTGGGATTTCCCTGGTGGCTCAGATGGTAAAGAATCTGCCTACAATGCAGGAGACATGGGTTTGATCTCTGGGTCAAGAAGGTCCCCTGGAAAAGAGAATGGCTACCCACTCCAGTATTCTTGCCTGGAGAATTCCATGGAAGAGGAGCCTGGCGGGCTACCGTCCATGGAGTCACAGAGTCAGACACGACGGAGCAACTAACACACTAGAAGCCAACAGCCCAAGCAAAACCTAAGTGTATCAGAGTCAAAGCAAAAATAAAATGACCTGGAAACAGTCCAGGTGCAACTGGGTAGTGGCCACCAAGATCTGTGGGGTCCCTTACTCTGTACCAAATCCTGTACTAGAGACATTATTGCATGTAATCCTCCCAATAACCCTGGGAGATATTATCATACCCATTCAACAGCTGAGGTAAGCTGAGGGTAAATAATACGCACAGTCACACCAGCCCTCAGTGTCCAAATTTCCCAATTCAAACCCAGACCTGAGTCAAAGGCTATTTTCTGGGTTACACATTGTTTCAGTTAAGGTCCCCCGAATTTCTATCTCCAACCTCAAACTTCTCCCAACTTAAAAATCCAACTGATGACTGGTCATCTCTATTTAACTCTAATAGGCATTTCAAATGTAGCAAAGACAGAAGAAAACAATGGGTTTTCCTTGCCAAATATCCTTCTTCCTCAACTCAGTGAGGCACTATCATCTATTCAGTTGCCCGGGTCACAAACAGAATCTCTTATTTCCATATCCCACTTCTAACCCATGCAAAAGTCCAGCTCTACCTCTGAAATATGCCCAGAAGCCAACACCATCCCACCGTCAGCACTACTACACCCTAAATTAAGGGAGTGCACTCTCTCCTTGGCCTACAGTAACAGCAGACTGCCAGGATTCAAGCTCCACCAGGAAGGATTCTGGCTCACTGCAGAAGCCTAGAACACTGCTCACAGCCAAGAGGAGGGGGTTTAAAAGCATCACTGAATGAAAGGTTCTGACTACTCTCACCTCCACACTAGTCCCTGACACATTCAACTCTTCATGGTGCCCAAAATCATCTTCTAAGTGTAAATCAAGCCACAGTTCTCACCTGCTCAAAATCCCCCAACTACCTTTCCCTGTAAGAGAAATAAGACCCAAACTCCATCGGTGACCGACCCCACCTGGCCCCACCTGCCTCTTTACCTCACCTACGACACTCCAGCCTCCTGGACTCTTCCAACACCTCACTGTTCCTCGAACATCCTGGAAGGCTCGCTACCCAGACCCTCACATGGGTGCCTCTCCATCAGTCTCAATTCCAAGGGCATCTTCTCAGCAGGCTTCCCCAAGAACCCTACAGAAGCCGCTTTGCCCACCAGGACCTGTTACAGTATCAGTATTGTTTACTGATTACAGTATATTATTGTTTCATTGCTCCAACGCTTATATAACGCCACCCTGTCCCTGCCCCAGCAGGACCAGTCACTGAGGGCAGAGATGATATCTGTCTGGCTCACTGCCTTATCTCCAGCTCTTGACACACAGTAGGTGCTGTGATATTGTGATATAATCAGGAATATTTATTTGGTCTTCTACTTGGGGATGGGAGGCCCAGAAGACTTGATATTGGCAGCTGAAGTGTGTGGGGAGCCAGACAGGGAGGAGGGTGGTGTTGTGGGATTAGGCCCCTAGCCTGGGGGATATCTGACATCCCAGTAATGTCAGAATTAAACTGTATTGTTGTACATCCAGTTATTATCCGGGGAGTTGGGGAACTGATTGGTATGGAGTAGGGGAGAGGGGAGTCCGTACATTGATGTCAGAAGTGATGTAAGTAAAAATAATAATACACATGTGCTCAAAAAAGTTTAAGGATGTCTAGACTTAGATACTTTCTGACAGTGCTGTGTGTGTGTGTTTTAATGTAAACTTCACAGTTTCATTCATATGAAATAATATCATCATCATCCGCCTCCCAGCATTGAGACCCACCACAGTGAAGCCTCAAGTAGTCCCAAGAAAGCAGAAGTTAACTTCCCTGTGATGAACAGCCAGGATTTGGTTCTTTCCAAAGTCCTGAGAGGGGGATTTTAGAAACAAGTCATAAAACCCTGCCAAAATATCAACCATACCAATAATTCTTTTACAAGACCCACTTGAGTACTGGCAATAGTTTTCTGAGCTCTAAATTACCCACTGGGAGCCACAGAAAGCCTCAAGGGGCTTTCAAGCGACTGGAGGACAGGTACCTCGATACCCGTAACCTAGTCACGTTAAAATGGAACTCCCTCAAAACAACCACAATGAACGATTTGCAAAGCCTTCTGGAGATCTGGAATATTCTGAAAGCCGCCTTCTGAGGTCCACTTTGGTCTCCAGAGCCCTGAGAGGCGTTAAGTACCCTCTCTTGTCGCTGTGCCTGACTGACGGCAAGTCATTCCACTTCAAGTTAAAAACCTCAATTTCCTCATCTCTGAAAAGACCAGCTTGAATGCATGCCAAGGACAGTATTAGACCTCAAAAACCAAGCGATAACTTCACAGGGCCATGGAAAGAGGTCGGATTATCTACCAGTCTAATCGGCGGCTATACAGAAACCCACAGCTTAACCCCTGCATCGCTTACGGGCTGGCCTGATTGTCGCAAGGCTGAACGTACCAGCAAGCAGCGACAGCCGGGCTAGACTCACCGGAAAAAACGAACCATTAAAACTCTGTAAGGAAATGCTGATAATCAACAAGCCTGGGAAGGTGGGAGCGCAACGTCTGGCAGACTTTACCTACTTCTTCCTAACTCTGCAAGAAGGAATGAAAGCAGCGTTAAAGGTTGAAACCTACTACCAATTCTGCCCTGACGCACTGCCAAACGGTAGAAGCCGATCCCAAGCGAGTACAGGTGTTTTAAGATCTCGAGAGTTTAATAGACGAGAGTTACAAACAGGCTCGGGCAAGTTCACAGCTGAAAGGGGGATGAGAAGGCTCAAGGTTCCTACCCAGGCGGCGCGTTCGTGTCCAGCCAGGGTTGGGTCGGGAAATTCAACAAGCAGGGCTGACTCTTCCCTGCGTCCAGACCTGAGCCCTGCGGTTTGGGAAGCAGGCTTCTCTGTTCTCGAATGAACAGAGCCAGAGCTCTGGAGCCTTGGGAGATGTCAAGCGCAATCCGCCTGGGCCAAACGAGCCGAGTTTCGTTCAGGGCATGGGAGAGGAGTGGTTGCCCAAACCCACGTCTTCTCCTGGGTTCACGGGGCTGGCAGAGCCCGCTGGCCTACGGAGCTCGGCCCCACACACTCGTACCCTAGGGAGTACGCGACACGCTCCAGAAACAGTTGGCACCTTCCGCCCGAACCCTGCCTGCCCCACCCTAAGCCAAGTTCCTACCTAACGCCCAACGAGAAGACCTCGGGGTCGCCTCTCGAGCTGCCCCCGTGTGCCTCTGGTCCGCCCGCCGAGGCAAAGGGTTTCCCCGACAGCTGAGCGCCGCGCTCCGGCCCGGGGCACTCACCCAGGCGGCGCGGGGTCACCCGCCCCACTTTCGGCGGCGGAGCCGGGGCACACACCCGGGGAACCCCGTGGTGCCTCGGGCTCCTGGCCAGGTCTCCACCGATCCGTCTCCCTCTGCTCACCTGGCCCGCACAGCACCGTGCTGACATAGCGGCGGCCGACCACCACCACCCGCGCGCTCGCCCGCTCGCAGCTTTCCTCCGGCACTCCTGGCTAGCTCCGGCCTCAAGCGTCAGTCCGCGGACCGCTCACGCCGCCACGCCGCGCAGCCCCAGCTGAGCTTGGGGGACCTAGGCCTGGGTGAAAACAGCCGCCGCGAAGCCCCGCCCCTCCGCTGCAGGCCCCGCCCAGCAGCCCCAGGCCCCGCCCCGTCAGGCCGCCACCGCCCTCAGCCCCTCCCTGTTCCCGCCCCTTCCCGCGGCACCGCTTCCGAACCGGCTCTGCCCGGGCTCGCACTTCCGCTGGCGTCAGGCAGCAGGCAGTTGTCATCACTTCTTGGTGCTGCGCTGGACTGTGAAGGCCGACCGCCGACGGGCTGGCCCGGCACTAGCGCGCTCCTGTGCCGGCCTGGCCACTCTCTGTCTCCGGCCCTGCAGGGAGCAGCGCCCCTAGTCCGCGGCTCCGGTGGAAGAGATGGTTGCTGACTCCAATAAAGCTCGGAGCCTTTAATGAGCGATTCCTAGTGCCCTGCACTGAACCGGCGAGATAGGGATAGCCGGGTGCTAGTCTATGCTCGGCCTCGCGCCGAACTGGTGTATGCCCGGAACCCCTGTTGCAGAAGTCGCTTTATCTTTTTCATCTCCCAAGAAAATTTCTCAAACTTTGGTAAGATTCCCTCTGCCCAAGCTACGAATCCCTGGTCACTTAGCTGTCTTGGCACGTTACCATGGCACCTTAAGGGATCCAGGGAGAACCCTTTATGTGCTTCCATGTTTTCCGGTCTCTCCACCACTCACAGGAGAGCGCACCCTCGCCCAGGAACTTAGTTTGCATGCCTCCTTCCTCTCTGGCTTCCCAGGTGGTTCAGAGGTAATGAATCCACCTGCTAATGTAGGAGACANGGGGGGGGGGCGCCGGTTCAGTCCCTGGGTGAAGGAAGACCCCCTGGAGGAGGAAATGGCAACCCACTCCAGTATTCTTGCCTGGAAAAACCCCATGAATAAAGCAGCCTGGCGGGCTACAGTCCATGGGGTCACAAAGAGTCGGATGCCAATGAGCACGGATATTTGTTACATGCAGAAAGAGTTCTCCCTACCTAAATCTGCTCTCCTCATGGCCACTTCCCCAAGAAGAGGAATTTCTGTTAGTGCAAACTTTGCGCCAGATTCCTTTTATTCCTTAAAATAAGGGTTATTCTCTATATTTTAGAAATGGGGCGACTGAAGCTCAGACAGTTTAAATAACTTGCCCAAAGTTTAACAGTAAAGCTGAAAAAGCAATACAGGGACTGGAATGCACGTGTCTGATCCCCTGGGGCATGACACGAATTCGACCTTCGCCTTTAGCAAAGTAGTGTCTGTTGGCAGTTGAGGAGATGGAAACTAAGAGAAAAGTCCATGGGAACCAATGCTTGGATTATGAGCAGCACAGACTCTTCTAGAATTGAGAGAGGCTTCCAGAGTGCTTGCACGTGGACAACCTTCTTGAGCAGTAGGATACAACGAAATTAGAAGTGACTTAAAAATAACTGCACAGCTGAGATAACCTTGAGCAAGAGGGTACAAAAGCGCCACAGACTACAAGTTTTTGAGGTGCCAGGAGCTAAAGCAGGATGCTATGCATGATCCCTGTACACTGCACCACCAAAGACAAGCAGGATGCTATGCATGATCCCTGTACACTGCACCACCAAAGACAAGCAGGATGCTATGCATGATCCCTGTACACTGCACCACCAAAGACAGACATGGTAAGGTACCTGTGTGCGTGCTCAGTCGCTTCAGGCCTATCCGACCCTGTGCACACCTATGGACTGTAGCCCACCAAACTCTGTCCATGGGATTCTCCAGGCGAGAACACTGGAGTGGGGCACCATGCCCTTTGCCAGAGGATCTTCCCAATCCAGGGATTGAACCCATATCTCTTACATCCCCTGCATTGGCAGGCGGGTTCTTTACCACTAGTGCCACCTGGGAATCCCGTAATAAGGTACACCTTTTGCCACACCCACTCATCCATCCCTACTGTTACACCAGTCAAGGACCCATGCAGCTTCCCTCCAAGAGCTCGCAAGCGTACCCGTTTCTTGGTTTTATTCCCTGGTGACGCAACTGTTGTTGTTCAGTCACCCAGCCGCGTCTGATTCTTTGCGACCCCATGGACTGCAGCACGCCAGGACCCCTGTCGCTCACCATCTCCCAAAGTTTGCCCAAGTTCGTGTCCATTGGATTGGTGATGCCATCCATCTGTCTCATCCTCTCACGCCCTTTTCTCCTTCTACCCTTAAACTTTCCCAGCATGGGGGACTTTTCCAATGAGTCAGCTGTTCGCATCAGATGACCAAAATACTGGAGCTTCAGCTCCAGCATCAGTCTTTTCAATGAATATTCAGGGTTGATTTCCTTTAAGATTAACTGGTTTGACCTCCAAGGGACTTTGAGGAGTCTTCTCCAGCACCACAGTTGAAAGGCATCAATTCTTTGGTGCTCTGCCTCCTTTACGGTCCAGCTCTCCCAACCATACATGGCCACTGGGAAGACCAGAGCCTTGATTATACGGACCTTGGTGGGCAAAGTAATGTCTCTGCTTTTCAACACACTCTCTAGGTTTGTCTTAGCTTTTCTTCTAAGAAGCAAACATCTTCTGATTTCATGGCTGCAGTCACTATCCGCAGTGACTCTAAAATAGAGTCCAAGAAGAGGAAATATGTCACTACTTCTACCTTTTCCCCCTTTATTTGCCATGAAGTAATGGAGCCAGAAGCCATGTACTTAGTTTTTTTTTTTTTTTAATATTTAGTTTTAAGGCAGCTCTTTCACTCTTCTCCTTCACCCTCATCAAGAGGCTCTTTAGTTCCTCTTTGCTTTCTGCCATTAGAGTGGTTTCATCTGCATATCTGAGGTTGTTGATGTTTCTCAGCCTTTATTGGGCTGAAGCTGATTGGGGCTGGAGTTTCTTGCCTGAACTTCTCCTCTGGCTCCTTATCAATTTCTATTGATTAAAAGGGTCCAAGGGTGGTGGTCAGTAACAGAATCTCCTAGAATCTCAGGTGCCAGCATTTAGAGGAAGAGAAATAATGGAGCAGACCCTACTCAGAGCCATGGAAAGTAATGAGAAATGGCTCCACCTAAAAATTTTTAAATAGTAATTTAAAACAACAACAACAAAAAAAACAGCCTCAACAGTATCAGACCGGTGCAGCCACCTGCTTGGTGGCTGTCTATGACTCATCAGAAGCCAAGGATCTTACTGAGACTGTCTAGTTAGGTTCACTGTTGTTTGGGATGGTCATTCTGGCCCCACTTCTTTTTTTTAGCATGGCCCCACTTCTCACCCTGGGAGACTACTTGGGTACCAGGAGTTTCTGTTCCCCTGGGAAGAGCCAGGCAGCTTGTGGGGAGGGGAAGGTGTGAAATCTACTTCAGTTTGAACCTGCTGGGGCTATGAAGTCTCCTCACCTTCTAGGAAAACTGGAGCACACCCCTGGGTTACAGGCAGAGCTGGTAGTAGATCCAGGCCTCTTGAATCCTGAGCTTTTTTTTTTTTTTAAATCTGTGTCAACTTGGAAGGATTCTATGATGATATTAACATCAGCTGGCAAAGAGACAACACAATTTAATGACCAGAGAATTTGTAGACTGTGCCCAAGGTACCTGAAAAATATACTGGAAGCCTGAGCTTCTGAAGTTATAAAGTTGTAAAGTTTAGCTTCACCAAAAACTGGCTGGATGACCTCAGAGCCTCAGTTTTATCATCTGCAAAATGGGGACTAACCATGCATTAAATTAAATTAAATTGATAAAGAATCCACCTGCCAGTGCAGGAGACGCAAGAGACGAGGGTTCAATCCCTTGGTGGGGAAGATCCCCTGGAGCAGGAAATGGCAATCAACTCCAGTATTCTTCTTTGGGAAATCCCATAAACAGAGGAGCCTGTCCAGCTACAGTCCATGAGGTTGCAAATAGTTGGACATGACTGGTATTACTAAACCAGTTTAAAAATGTTAAATAATCTATGCAGGCTGATTCTTCCTCTGTGCTGGAAGATCTCAAAGGAATATGGCTACTGTCAACTGAAAGAAAAATACACAATGTAAAGTGAATTCAGTTGTATTCAGGGACCTTCCTGTGAATCACAGCCCAGGAGATGGCCTCTCAGATAACACCAAATTGAGAAATTGGCCTCAGAGAAATAAGGGGAAAGCCAAGATAAATGTAAATAATAAATAAATAATAAAATTTTAGCTGGGGGAAAAACACATGATCAAACATAAAAAGCTAACTACTAATCTCAAGGTAATTATTTTAATACTTTTCTATGAATGGGAAGATGTAAGAATCTGGGATTCTTGAAATTTTTTCATAGATATGCTTCTTAATTATATAGGGGCCAGGATGTTTTACCTTAGAGATGCATCTTAACTATCTTTGGGGTAAGATGCAGAATGCTTCTTGGCTTTCTCCATCCTGAAGTCCCTTCTGGGTGCACTGTTGGTGGGGGACAGTGGCTAATGGCTTGATCTCTGGAGAAATGGACTGGCTGGCAACTCTTTATTTCTTCATGCCAAGTCTGACCTCCTTTCCTGGTTCTAAGGGGTTTGCAGTTACTATTTATGGTCTGGCTGGTAACATCCTTTGCATCTGTTGTCAGTCAAAAAGAATAGAGGTAATGTCAGCAGACATGACAGAAAACAGTGGCACCTTAATTTTATTTTAAGTACTCTGCAGGCCTTTTCAAGAAAGAGAGTTGTACAGTGTTCTTAACATGTAGGTAATTTTACAGTCTGTCCCGTTTGATGTGGATTTTCTCAGGAATAAGCAATAAAAGGCCTGTTTTAATAAAACTAGCTCTTGGCAGACCATTTGAAATATTCCCCCCACAAAAATGTTCTTAAATTAACTAAATTAGCTCCTTTTATGCAGTTTAATTATACATGCATATATGTATGACATACTATAAATAACAAGCTTATAATTTGCTTTTTTCTCCTTGTGAATTTGAAGGGTTTTTT